CAACACTCCCAACTCAGAGATTTCCCACACCATTGGTGCATGGAGATTGCCTCTTCAGTGATCTTCCCATTCTGGGTTTTTTTACACAACCCCAGGGCAAGGAGACTGCGATCCCCACTCCCAACTCTGGGGTGCATGGGGTGTCCCTAGAGCTGAGAGTCCCTCAACTAGGGTGTGCGGGGCTCCTAGTCACAGGAGCCTGCTTCTTGCCAGTGCAGGGGGAGCCCTGAATTGGGCTGGCAATAAGACCTGATGGGACCAGATTCATGATCCCACAATTTTGCCTCCTGCCATTGTGTGGATCACACATTAGCTCACAAATCTTTACCAGCACATAAAAAGTTTTGAGGGGTCCCTCTATAAATGTTCAGTTTGGCTCACAGTAAAAGTTAACAGCCAGATTAATATGAAGATCCTTATCTTTTTGACTAATGACCACTTCAATCCCTCCACTGATCAAAAGCAAAGGAATATCTTTTCCTTTTATAAGACAATAGAAAAATACACTAAAAAACACACAGCTGCAGATCTAGCAAGTTGATAAAATAGTAAAAAAAAAAAAAAGTTGTTTTTTTTTTAAATTTGGGAAAGTTAAAGCTGCTCTTCTTTACAATCTTTTCAGATGCATAGCTCTCTCCCACTCCCCCCCACAAAGATCATTAAGCAACATGTATCAAAATACCTGCCCCAAAGAGGTTCACTAATTTTAAAATTCCCAGAAGGGAGAAACTTTAGAGAGAAAACAGAAAACATACTTAATCCACACTTCATACAGCAAGGGGCCATAGGCTCTTTATGTATTTAATGCTCAAGTCCCAATTATAATAAAATTGGTTCCACATATAAGAGTAAATGTTTATGGTGAGGGCAATGTAGGCTCTCTGTCCCTAGCTATAAAAGAAATACATTTCAAGGCATAGTTATTCATAAGACTGTTTAATGAATCTTTGAAATGACTCATTAAATCATCTCTAAGGATCTCTTAGACAGACCTACCCACTCACATTCTGAATGATTTACATTTTAATATAGTGAAGTGATTTTATGGCATGGTTTATGTTGGAGAGAGAGCACTGTATCTTAATGCTATTTTTATTCATAGAAGTTTAAATGGAAGGATAGGATGTAACTTTCCATCTTTTACTAAAATTTCCTGTTGTGAAGATGGATTTCCCTAATATTATCTTTATTTAATGAGTCCAAAAATAAAAAGGTGGGGACAGTTAGTAGATGATACATAGGAAAGAAGGGCTATGAGGAAATCATCTTGTCCAGCCCCCTGTTCAAGGCAGGATCATCCCCGACTACACCATCCCAGTAAGGCATCTGTCTAACCTGCTCTGGAAAGTTTCTAGAGATGGAGATTCCATGTGCAAGACTGCAGATGCTAGAACATTTTTGGAAAATACACTTAGGCAAACCTAATCCTTTTTTGGCCATTTGGACCATGAGCCTATTTTAAGTAGATCACTGAGGCTCAACCTTCTGACCCCACCGGCTGGATGAGTGGTGCGGGCCCAGACTATGGGCTGGATCTGGAGCTCAGGGTCAGTACATGGGTTGATCCACAGGTGCAACTCAACGTGCTGGTCTGTTGTACACATGGGCCCAATACCACAAGTAGTGCAACCCCGTGCACCAGATCTGGCCAAGAAATACACCTCATACCAGCATGATCCAACATGCAGAGCTATGTCATCCAGTCTTCACCCCACCGGTCAAGAAAATTGCAGCTTCTCTGCTGCGAAGTAACACTCCCCCCATTGCCAAACTTTTGGACCCGTGTGGAGACCCACGGGCCAGGTGACATGGCCTTGCAGTTTAAACATCATAGAAGTAGATTATTCAAGTTGTTTCAGCATACATCACACTTCTTAACAGTGTAAGCATGGTTAAATCATCTTTCAGAACTCCTGCAGACAAAAGTTTCTCTAGTAAGAGCTATGACTGCATGTAAAAAGAGCGCAGCTGATATGAAAAATTACTCCACCATGTTATCTCCAAGATCCTGTTTGGCTGTCTCATATCATTAGGAATAACATAAAGGATTGCCTTTGTTACAGCAATAATGTTCTCATAATCCTTGTGGGGGGGGGAAGGAGGCGGAGGGGTACTGAGATTATACAGGCTGAAAGAAATCAGTCTAAAGATTTCTCTTTTCAACCCTGAAATCTTTTTCTAGTTTTGGTATGAGAAAACTGCAATGTTGCTATGCAACCATCACCCTGAATTACTGCCTTTTGTTTTCCTACAAACCAGTCTGTAATATAACTGAAACTTGTTTCTAACTTGGAGGACTGTGTTTGCACAGCAAACTCTGGGTAAACTTACCTGTGCGATAATGCGCTATTATAACATTATTTTCCATTGTTCCAATACCACACCCTTCCCTGCAATCAAGACTGCCTGAGAATTATTTGCATTCTCTCTGGAGCCAAAAATTAACTACAGTTTAGCCTAACTTAGTTTATGAGAGCTGTACTAACATTTCTATATAGGTTCAGGTATCAGAAGAACCTTTTTAAGAGACATTCAGGTATCTCTGTACCACACTATCATAGGCTACAAACACCCTCTTTGAAAGTTTTCTCATGTTCCACGTTGAGTTTGCCTTCAAAGCACCTACTTTTATGTCTATTTTCCCAACACTTCTGGAGCATTGCATAAGAACATTCGAAATATCTTAGTAAACAGATGAATGTGAAAAGCACAAGCTCAGATAGGCCTCCTTATACAGGAGGCTCCTTGCTGCATGAAGTGTGGATTAAGTATGTTTTCTGTTATCTCTCTAAAGTTTCTCCTCTGTCTGGGAATTTTAAAATTAGTGAACCTCTTTAGGGCATCAAATGCTATATGCTTTCAGTTGCTCTACAAGGAATAAAGCAGTTGTTAAAGCATTAAAGGTAAAAAACAGATGTAATTTTTGTTGAGGCATCAGCTGTGCCAGGATGTGTCCCAAGATAGCTGTTATCCTGGGACATCTATTTAGTCCCTAAATAGATGTTATTAGGGCCAGTGTCCTGCAGGGTCAGGCTCCTGCCACTCCTGGGACTTCCGAGACTTGATTGTGCAGAAAAACAGCCCCAGATACTATGCCCTGACCCAGAGGACAGTTCTGTAAGCGGAGTAATACCCCTGGGGTTTCATTGCTTGGAAACACAATCTGGATCAGGGTACAGAACTTCCTGGGATACACAAGAAAGTGAACATTCTCCTCGATTCAGGTTCACGGTGACTAAGCTTGGTCTCACAAATATTTTGGGGCAATTGGAGTGCGACAAGAGCCAAGGACATCTATTCCCTTTCAACCTGTGCCGCCATAAGAATTTAATGTGGTATAACAACATCTATTTGCCCCATAAAGCTTATCAAAAAAGAGAAGTCCCTTAACTACTTCAAGATAATATTAAAACACTTACCCAGATAAGGAACATGAGTGGTTCCAAAAAAATAGGTCCTTGAACAAGCCAGAGGTCCTTTTGGTGACACACACTGCACTACCTAGGGATCAGTAGTAACAAGATGTAAGTAAGTCATAGCATATACCATAATTTTACATTACTAACAAACTATAAATTACTAAAATCTGCCTTTGTATTCTACCAACTCAAATACTATAAAAAAGTGCATGAAATAGGACCACCAGTATTAAAAAAAAAAAGTATGTTAATACTTGTTTTCACTTATGTGGCTCAAAAAGTCTTTGAAAAAGAAAAGAAAAGATGAGCTCTGAATTCCATGTGCATTAAAAAAAACGGTTCCAGGTTTGTTTATGGAAAATGTCTTTTAATGAATAAAGCGTCTGATTAACCATCCATGCACTCGGGTCTTTGACTCACTATTTTCTTGCATCCTACGAGCTAAGAGCAAATATCACACACACACACACATATATATACCTCTAAGTGTACCACTGTCAGCCCTCTGAGACTTACTGACACGATGTGGCTGACACCGTGTCAGAAAGCAATCACACCTGGTGGTGGGAAATAAGAGATGGTCCTAATTAGAAACCTACCCACCTACAGGAATAAAAAGAAAATAGTACAACTGGTGCCCATGTGGGACTCAAAGGAAGTAAAACCAAAAGTTATGTTTAATGCAATTGGAATACACCAAGGAGTCCCCACGTCCAGCTGTAAGGCAGTGACTTGTGAAATACTCTTCAGTCAGGGTCATAAAAATCACCATCAGGTCACTGCCCCCAATTCCCTAGAGCAATAAGCTATATTCAACAGTCTAAGAGCATAAATTAGGACCAAGACACTCCCAAAGCCTACTTAGATCAGCTACAAGGGATAACTAAACACTGCAGTCTGCACACTACCTCTCCTGGATTACGGCATATTACCTTCTTGATGCACCCAGCCCATCCAGCCAGAGGATCAGTATTCCCTGGGGTCGCTTCCCCAGCTGTTGCACTACCATGCAGGGAACACAAGCCATCCAACTCATGATATGTTTTAAAACCAAAGTTTTACTTGAAAATGGAAAGAATTCATTTTGAAAATTCACCTTACTAAACTTCTTTAATTGCTGAAAGAATTTGGGGGTTTTACGGTCTGTTTGGTTGCTTCAATATATATGTATATATATGCACACAGTTTGAACACCTTAATGCTCCACCTATTTAGTAAAATGGATTTCAATACTACAGAAAGTGTAAGGTGCTTTAGAAACTGTTTCATAAAACCTGTTTGTGAATCTTATAATTCTAACAGAAGAGAGTTAAATCCACATACAAGCTTTCAAGGGGTATTCAGACTCTCCAGGTTGCAAGTATAAAAAAAAGACATCATGAACAACGAACGGACACGGGTGTAACATTTTCAGGTACTCAGGATACTTAAAAAGACTGTTTTTTAATCCATAAAATGATTTTCTATCAAGTCCTAATTGTGCAACAGCCCCATGCTCAGAGCATCCATTTAATTCAACAGGAGTTTGGCTTTGGAAAGGCCGCATGCAGGATTTGCCTCAGGGGAACAAGAACTTGTCACTAAACAAAAAGAGAGGCAAATTCCAGAGTGCTTTACTTGCATTTTTAGTTTATTACACGTATGCTAAATATTTGATTGATCACTATTAAGCACTTTGTAATGCCAGAGAAACAAAGTAAAAAGTGTATGGCTTGAAAAATATCAACGTTATTAAAGGCTCACCATGTGCTTGGCAGTGCTTCCACCCAGGCCTGTGTTTCGAACTAGATGCCCCTCTGATGGAAAATTGAAGTTCCCAGAGTTTAGGTTCTCTTTAGTTGAGTGGCTACCAAACAGCACAAAAGGTTGTCTGCTAGGGCTGAAAAGAGAAAAAAAAAAATCTATTTCCCACTGCTTCTTCAAGACATTGATACACATATCAATTTGTAAAACATTCACAACATTTCTTGGCGTTCTCATTAAAACAATAGAAGTGTAACAATAGAAGTCTAACAGCAGCGCACCTGAAGAATCAAATGGAAAAACACCTGTTGTTAGAAAGAGAGAGAACCAAAAAAAAAAAAAAAAAA